CAAGAATACTATTTTTTTTAAATATTTCGTTTAGAATAACTTTCCTGTCACTGCCATTTTAGTAACACCATTGATGGTGATGACTAGGAGGGTTGTATGTGTTTTTATAAATAATGTTGGGGGTGGGGTCAAGGATTATGGCGTTATAACACTGTACCTCTCTCTCTCTCTCAAGTGTTTTTGTGATAATTCAAAAGATAAGAGTAAAAACATCTGGGTCATAAAATGGTACCCACTGTAAATGTGGTACAAGGTGAATTGGCCCAATCCAGGGGCCAAAGATTGGGGCCACAGGGTGGAATGGGGGTATCTGTGCACAGCTGTAAAAAATTAACGCGTTTGAGCTTTCACAAAAGCTCGGTTCAGGCATTACTCTTCATGCAATTGAGTTAATATGGAGAGAGGCAGTGCTCAACTGGTAATTGAGAAAATTGTGTTTCATCAAGTTAAACCTTGGTTCTTCGTTTTAAGGATTCAGTGGAACCACGTCAGTGCAGTTGACTATAAAAATGCTCCTAAGTTTAGCTTAGGCTGGAAAACATGGAATGGGTTAAAGAGATTCCTTTGACATGTGTAATCGTCTACTGCTTGTTTTTACCTTGTCCAAAAATGAGGACAAGAAAAACTAGCTCATGCTATTCATAGGATTTGCTTGTTTGAATTGCTGTGAGATTTATTTCCATATATTGAACTTTTTTGGGGAGTCACAAGCTTTTCTATGGCACACCTCCAATTTACTAATACAGTAAAGTATGCTAAAGTTTGCAGTGCCATGCATAAAAGCAAAAGGAAACGAAATAAAGTTGCAAGGATAATTTATTGAGCTGGGATGGACAGTGGCAAATAGAGAAGCTAATTGACAAGAGAGTTTTCACCTTTCATTTTTGATACTATCCTAGTCTACCAAAAAATGAAATTATATTATTTGGTTAGTTGACCTCTACTTAATACGTAGTAGAATGATTTGCTATACTGTAATAAGAAAAAGGGGAAAAAACCGGTGACATTATACTGACAGAACAGAATGAAAAATCAGAGACATTGCATTACTTCATTTTTTATGTCCTTGTATTGGTATGATGTTAAAATGTGAGCACACTTGACTGAATATATTTGGTTTTGCTTTTACCTTCTCATGATAAATGACTTTATTTTATATTATTTAAAGGGCAACTGGCCATGGAATATCTGGGCATAGTTTAGAACAGCCAGTTAAAATAGAGTGATAGGCAATCAAGTCATACTCAAAGTAGACCCATTGAACTCAATAAATTTAAGTAAGCTTAGTCCATTGTGAAGACCCGGGGGGGGGGTTTCTTCCCAAATTTTCCAGTTCCTCCCTGCCTAGTCTTTCACATCTTTAATAGCAATTCTGAGAGTCACACCTGTCAAAAAATAATCTAGGCTAGAGATTGTGGAAAATTCCTTAAGAAGTTGGTGGGGGGGATGTCTAGGGCTGCAGTCCTATGCTGCATACTTACTTGGGAATAAGTCACAATGAAACCCCTATCAAGGTTTTTTGGGTGGAGGTAGCTGGTGTAACATGGTGTCTAAGAGACTGAGAGCCTCTGGTTCAAATCTCATCCTTGGCATGAACTCACCAAATAGCCTTAGGCAAGCTGCTCTCTTTAAACTTCAGTTCTCCCACCTGCAAAATGGGGCAGGACAATTATGATTTACCTTACAGGATTATTGTATGCTTACAAGAAGAAAATGCATAGAATTTAAAAACGCTGTGCAATGGCTCCCATTATTATAAGGATTTTTATTATTTTCTGTTACAACAATAAACTATAAAAACTTTTAACAAACACCGGAGCACTGGCGTTCTTGTCACGTTTCCCATTTTCCTCCTCAAGTGCACACTTCTGTTGCAAGACACCGAAGCACTAACAAACTTCTCTCCTTAGTGTACCATGTACAGAAGGTGGGATCAATGCAGGGGCACCTTTGCCAACATACATTATGAAAAGCATCCAAGTATCTGCAAATCTGTCCTTCACTTTAGGTTCTCTGCTGGCTCTTTGGTGCTGTGTAAGCATCTTGTGTAAAGTGTGATTGGAAAGCCAAACCTTTACTGAAAAGCCTGCTGTCTTCCAGCATCATGCCATTTCTGCTAGAGCAGCTACCAACACAAAACACAATCAGATCTTCACGCACTAGTTCTCCTTTTTGCGTTTCTGAAAGTGACAACAGTGCTGGTGTTGGACCCATAACAACCATTTGCCCGGTTACCCGTGAAGTTAAATGCTGCCATCCAGAATCTGTGGATGCCCGGGAAAGTCCACAAGTGAAATAAGAGTTCCCACTTTCTTGCACTCCCACCAAACTTTAGGCAATACATACTTGTTAATATAATGAAGCAGTACTGGTGTCAGGTGCTACTACCTTAAGAGAAGGTTCCTTAACTCTTACCAAGTTCCTTAACTCTTACCAAGCTGCTGAATTCAGTCCCTCCACCCCACTGCTTGTCTGTCATAGAAAAGTCCATTTCCTAGTTCTGCTCCCACACTATCTTGGTTCTGTACTGCTCACTAAAGTTTGTGATATAAAGAACAGGGCTTTTTTTCAGCTGGAACTCACCGGAACTCAGTTCTGGCACCTCTCAGGTGGGTGCCATTGCCATTCGAAGAGAACAAGGGCAGAGTTTATGGTGAGTTCCAGCACCTGTTTTTCTAGAAAAACAGCACTCATAAAGACCTTATACATGAAAGGAGGTAGCCCTCTCAAAATAAGATGACATAATGCATGTGTTTTTGAACAGTGTTGACCTGTCCAAAGACATGCCTCTGTGCATTTTATGGGCAAATGAGATAATCTGTGCACTCTGAAATCCTAACAGTGCCTTGTCTTGAAAACACTTCCTAAACTTACCATGTTCCAAACATGTCTAATAGGTCCCATAATCTGTAATGCCCTTGTACTCCCAAATACAGGCAACCCCCCCACTTATGCACACCCCACTTGCGTGTGCCCGTATTTTACCCTGCATTAAATACATGGCTGGTGGTAGCTACATGCATGTCTCTTTCTCAGAAGTAAAAATTAAGTAAATTAACACTATAGCACCCTCTAATTCAAACCAAGTCATTTATTTCTTATTAAGCACAATACAGAGATTTCCAGTTAATAATATATCTTTATTTAATGTATGATACTTAAGTGAAGGTGCACAGGTGTTCACATTTCATGAAAAAGGTTGGGAAAGCACGTCAAACTGTATGAGCGCAAGACTCTCTTCACAGGTGTACATGCACATACCTGATACAAGATGATCTTTCAAGCACTCCTTCCTTGGCAGGCAATAATTGTAGTGATGTGTGTTGCATGGTAAAAACAGTACACGTGACTTAAATCTCTTACATTTTACGTATTGCGTTTCCTAATGTGTGTGACACAGAATCATGTTATAATCAAATTAGATTACAGTGTTTTATTCCATACAACATGAACCCTGAGTGGTGATTGGATTTGTGAAAAATACCACCAGTGATGCCTTGTAGATAAAAGGGGCTTCAGCAGGGATTGCCCCATAGTTGGCCGAGAAGCAGAGGCCTTGTGGAAGCAGGAATAGAGGCCTAAGAGGGTTTAGATCAGGCATAGGCAAACTCGGCCCTCCAGTTGTTTTGAGGCTACAATTCCCATCATCCCTAGCTAACAGGACCAGTGGTCAGGGATGATGGGAACTGTAGTCCGAAAACATCTGGAGGGCCGAGTTTTCCTATGCCTGGTTTAGATGAAGTGGGAGGCTGAGAAACAGCTTCTCACAGGTTCTGAGGAGACAGGCAGATATGTGAGCTGCTGTCAGGAAGGCAACGAACAGGTAAATGAGCTTTGTGAGGTAGCTTGCTGAAGTGGCAAAGTGCTGAACTGCCCACATTTATTGGAACCCACCAGTCACATTCCAGCATGCCTTTCATCTTAGAATCTAAAAATATTTCTGATGTAGTGTCACTTTGAACTGGTAATCTTGCATATGGATTAACAGAATATAGTGAATTTAGAAAGTAACTTTTCCTGACGTTTTCTAAAGGCTCCTTCCAATATTACATTTTCCTACCTGCATTTAATAATAGGAAGGTGAGAAAATGTGTGTCACTGGTCTTTTTAAGTCAGGAAGGTCTGTTTCCAGAGACTGAGAATTGCATGAAATATGGAGCAGGTTTTGCGAGTCCTTTATTTGCAACAAACACTCCCATCATTACAATGATGCCCATTTGTGACCAATTTCTGGTTACTTCCAATGTGGTGAAACTGGGTTAATTTAATGGCAGGATTCTCCAATCTTGCCTGAGACTAGAAATTATCCTCCTTTCATTGTTTAATTGATGGTATTTCTATGCCCTCCAACGACCCTTCTGTGGGCATCTTACAACAACAACAAAAATACAACTATAAATCTTAAAAACAAGAATAAATAATGCAGAAGCAGAGAGAAAAACGACAACCTCAGACTCTCAAGAAATAGCACTGAAACTTATTTTAAAACAAGCGTAAAGTTGTTGCTGTTAAATTACAGAAGGCCTGGTGTTTTTTTTTTAAAAAGGAGTCTTTTCACCTCATGCCCAAACCACGGCAAAAAAAAAAAAAAGGCGCCAAATGTTCCTCCGCGGAATGACAATGTGTGTTTTTGCGGGTCGGAGGGCTCCGCGCGCTTAAGTCCACGCCAGCCTTGCCTTGATCCTCGAGGGAGAGGCTTGCAACAGCGGCCTCGGGTGTTTGCAGCAAAGGCCGGCAGCTCCCCTGTGGCTGCCGCGATGGCCTCCTGACCTTTCGCTGTCCTTCCTGCGGCGCGGCGGGCGCCGCCCGGAGCCAAATGCTGCCGTAAGCCGGCCACGAGCGTGCAAGGAAGGGAGCAGCCGCTCAGGTTTTCCCTCGCCGCTGGCTCGTCATTATTTTCTTCCGCGCTGCGCTTGCAAGCCAGCTCTGGGAGAAGGAGGAGGAAGAGAAGAGGTGCGGCGGTGGCGGGGGGGGGGGGAACCGTGGGGGGGGGAGAGAGAGGAGCAGCCCAGCAGCCCGAGCCGCCCTCCCCAGCCGGATGGGCGGCCAATGGCACGCGGAGAGCTCGAGAGGGCGTTGCAGGCGGAGGGAACACACGGGAGGTGACAGCTCAAACTCCTCCTATTCTCACAATGCTCAGGAGCGCATTGTGGTGAACATGGCAGAGGAGGAAGATTAAGACCCGCTGAGCTGCTGCTGCTGCTGCTGCTGCTTCCTCCTCCTCCTGACCACCGAGCCACTTGTTGGCTGCTCTGAGGCCCCTGTGGTGGACGGCGCGGCGACGGTGCAGGGCTCTTGTGAAGGGAGGCAGCGCTAGCCTTGCGAGCGAGCGGCCGGGTTGCGTTTGTGCGTGTGCTGAATTCATTTATTAATTCTGTGTGTATGTGTGTGTGGAAGGCAGGCAGGCAAGACCAGGAAGCGCTACGAATCCGGGGCTTGGCTCTGCGTGTGATGATCCGGCTATGGAGGGGCAGCGTCGGGGAGCTGAGGAGGCGGCAGATGCTTGGCCGGTGAGGCGGCTGGCGCGCCAGGGGCCCGCGGCCAGGGGCACAGCCGGCAGCCGTCGCCGCTGCTGCCGGGACCGGGCGCCGCTCGCCCAGTGCAGCAGCAGCAGCAGTAGCAATAGCAGCAGCAGTTCGCAGCTGGGACTGGGCGCCCTTTGCATTGCAACTCCGCATCGCTCGTACTATTGCGGCTCCGCGTGAAAGGAGGAGGGCCAGCCAGGAGGAGGAAAGGAAAAGCGGGGGGGAGGCATCGAGAGGGGAAGGGCAGATTGCAGCAAGGAGGATTGGAGGAGGAGGAAAGGGGGCAGCCGCCCGCAGCAGCAGCAGCAGCCATGCTGCCCGGGGTGGGTGTGTTCGGCACCAGCCTGACCGCCCGGGTCATCATCCCTCTGCTAAAGGACGAGGGCTTCGCGGTCAAGGCGCTCTGGGGCCGCACTCCGGAGGAGGCGGAGGAGCTGGCCAAGGAGATGAGCGTGCCTTTCTACACCAGCCGGATAGACGAGGTCCTGCTGCACCAGGATGTGGATCTGGTCTGCATCAACCTGCCGCCGCCGCTGACCAGGCAGATCGCCGTCAAAACTCTGGGTGAGTGAGTCGACATCGTGGCCCGGCTTTTTTGGGGGCGGAGGCCCTGCCCTGGAGCGGGAGGTGGGTGCGTGGAAAGAAGAGGTGGCTTTTTGAAAGGGGAGGCGCCGTGGGTTCAATCCTGTTTGGAAATCCATTGCCTTGGGTGGGGTCCTGTTGCAGCAACCCCTTGCGGGGGAAGGAAAGATGCTCTGCACATGCCCAGAGGCAGGGACGTCTTGTTGTTATTACTCCTTATGCTCCAGAACCATAGGGAGAAGAGCCGTAGCTCAAGTGCTTTGCCAGCAGAAGGTCTCTGGTTCAATCTTTGGCATCTTCAGGTAGGAATAGGAAGTCTTCCTGCCTGAAGTGTCAGACAGCCGCTGCCAGCCTGTGTAGACAATGCTGGCCAGTGGTCAGTCTTGGAATAAAGCAGCTTCCTTAGGTGACCTGATGCAAAGTGTTCTTATCCGAGGCATTATGCTGCTGATTATTAGTTGCTGGGGAGCATGGGCAGGAGAATGCAACTGTGCCTAGGCATCTGATTGGCCACAAAATGCAGGACTAGATGGGCCTTTAGTCAGATCCAGCAAGGCTAGTCTTATGCCCTTTAGACCTGACTCTGACACAAAAAGAAGGTTCCAATCCTCCTGAGGTTATTTTAAGTCCCAGGCATGGAGGGTCATCTCAAAACATTCCTCTATTCTTTGCAATTTGACCTGAGGTAATTTCTAAAACTCAAGTCTTTTTGGAAGCCTTAGTTCTAGTCTGCAAACTCTAATCCTGGGAGGATTAATTGGTGAAGAAAAGGTCCTCTGCACACACACAAAGGTAGCCTTGGCTAATTTTTGGCACTGGAAACGGGCTCCACTGCTGAGTCTTGGAGAACCTTCAAATGAGGTGTAGTAATTAGTGGAACATAGCCGTTGACAGGCTCTAATTTAAAGCTCAGGGAGGAGCTCTGACTATCCTCTCACATTTTTTCCAAACACACCTCGATGATTATTTCTGGTTGGGATGGAATTCCTCTTTCCCAGGTGCCTCTTTGAAGCCATGAGCCATGGGTCTATGCTTCTTTACTTATCTTATTTGTATCCCACCATTTGTCAATAAACTGAGGGCCAGCATGTTTTGCCATTGTCTGAAAGCTAAGATAAAAATATCACAACCACAAAAACTATGTGAGAGAACAGCCATGCTGAGCGAAAGTAGATGGCTGAAAATCACTCACCTGGAGAGCTTCATGACTTGAGTGGGGATTTAAATTTAGTGTTTCTGATTCAACACCATCATGCCACACTTTTAAATGACACTGTTCTCCCTCTTTCTTGTGCTCCATTATTTCTGTTTTGGCGCCAGTAAGTAAGACATTCCAAGTATCAGTCTTTCATGTACAGATGAGTAAACTTAGGGTATGTGCACATTACCATTTACTCTGCATCCAGTGTGTTCCCACAGCTAGATTTTGAGGCCACAGCCCATATCGAGCCTGTAGTTTCTTGACAACTACTACTTGAAGTGTTATTTTTTCGTGAAACCAGTTTCAATCCGACTACAAAGTGTAAGCTGCATTCACTTCATGCTTCAGAATGGTGTGAACGTTCAAGATGGCTGTGGCACATGCACAGATGAGTGTGCATGCGCAGATGGGTGTGCATGCGCAAGGGAGCCTCATGAATAGTTTGGGAAGGGGGAGGGGTTTTCAGGGGAGGGGAAACCAGAAGTGCCGTGCATGTTATGTGAACATGCCTTCCTCTGATGTGAACAACACTGTGCCAATGTGGCTTGAAACTCAGCAGAGGAAATTGGTTTTGCTGCATTTTAAGCCGCTAATGTGAACATACCCAAAGAGTAAGAATTGGGAATGCTGAGAGAGCTGTGAAATAACTATGGCAGTATCTAGCTAGAAATAAATGTAGTTTTTAACTTTCAGTCACTGCAAAAATGTCACCTGATATGTTCTTTTCTTTTGGGTGAGGGAGGGGAGAATGTTTTGTTTCTTAGCTTTCATAATAATAATAATAATAATAATAATAATAATAAATTTTATTTATATCCCGCCCTCCCCAGCCGAAGCCGGGCTCAGGGCGGCTAACAACACTAAAACAGTACATTATAAATACATTCTAAAAATTAATTAAAATACAAATTGATGGCAGCTGTTGCCCATTGGGTGGAGTTCTAATTTTGTTCGCATCCTCCCTGCTGAGGTCTAAATGGGCAACACTAAGAGTAAGGTGGAGGCAGCTGACAAGCAGTGCCACCCTCAAGATGGTTTTAAGAAAGCAGGCAGACTGACGGGTGAGGGGTGTCTGAGGAAAGACTGAGTTTAGTGGAGTGGTGTTCCATTTGCCCAGATGGGCAGGCCTTCCTTTTGAGAAGTGCTTTATAGGTGTAATGCAACAAACCTGAGTATACTGAATCACTCATTTAGTATGCCTGAAATAGGCCATGGAACTCTGGTACCTGGATATATTGGTATCATTTTACTTTGATTTGTTGGGTGATGAACGCAATAAAAATGGGCATAGTTTCTTTCTTTCTTTCTTTCTTTCTTTCTTTCTTCCTTCCTTCCTTCCTTCCTTCCTTCCTTCCTTCCTTCCTTCCCTTCCTCCTTCCTTCCTTCCTTCCTTCCTTCCTTCCTTCCTTCCTTCCTTCCTGTTATTTATAAGAATTCCCCCCCAAATATAAACACCTGCTTGTAGAAAGTGTACTGTACAACAACAACAACAACAACAACAACAACAACAACTTATTTATACTCCGCCCATCTGACTGGATCTCCCCAGCCACTCTGGGTGGCTCCCAACAGAATATTAAAACAGAATAAAACATCAAACATTAAAAACTTCTCTAAACAGGGCTGCCTTCAGATGTCTTCTAAAAGTTAGATAGTTGTTTATTTCCTTGACATCTTATGGGAGGGCGCTACTACCAAGAAGGCCCTCTGCCTGGTTCCCTGTAACCTCACTTCTTGCATTGAGGGAACCGCCAGAAGGCCCTCGGTGTTGGACCTCAGTGTCCGGGCTGACCAATGGGGATGGAGACACTCCTTCAGGTATATTGAACCGAGGCCGTTTAGGGCTTTAAAGGTCAGCACCAACACTTTGAATTGTGCTCAGAAACATACTGGGAGCCAATGTAGGACTTTCAGGACTGGTTTTATATTGTCTTGGCGGCCACTTTCTTGTATAAGAGAGCAATTTACTTTGATGTTTGGGATTGTGGAAGTGTTTGTTCTGTGGGAAGGGCTGTGGCTCAGTGGTAGAGCACATGCTTTCCATACGAAAGCTCCCAGGTTTAAGTCTTATCACCTGCAGGTAGGGCTGTTGTTTGCAAACAATTTTTCCCCCTGGAAGCAAATACCACAGAAATAAATGCGAAGCTTCTACTATATTCCGTTATATTGCTGAAAGTGGCTTTTACGTTGTGTGAAATTGCAAATACAGTGTGGAAACTTTGGGAAAAGGAAATAATCTGTTTTATAATCTGAAAGTTATATAAGAGTTTAGTAAGCGAGATGCAGGATCATGAACATCAGTCAACCGATATGTGTCAGTGACACTCACATAGCTATATTTCTCATGGCGCTGCAAGTCAGAGAACAGTAAGGCCAGTAACAGATGCAAACTATGATTTACAAAGCAACATATAACCTAATGCAAGGGTTCACAAGCTGCTGCCCGTGGACTACCAGTGGTCCAGGAGCTTCATTCAGGTGGTCGGTAGCAAGTTTGTATTAAATATTCATATTGTTATAAATTGCATTTTGAAGGCTTCTTTTATTTCTTATATATTGTATTGCAGTCAGAATTCTGTGGAATGCAGATTATAATGCAACGAAATACAACATGATTTAAAAAGCAGAAATATAACAACAAAATGAATTAAGATACAATAAGATTCCAGATAGATACCAAAACAATAAGAGAAATAGTAAACACACTAATGAGCAGACGCTAGCTAAAAAGTGCTAGTTGAAAATAAACTGTTCTTAAGAGCACACTTAAAAGCTAGCAACCAAAGGCACACATGCACGTCTGTAGGAAGGTTGTTTCATGATTTGTTCCAAAGTTGAAAACGCCATTGCTCCTATTCCCACCAAGCAAAATTCATACGGTGGAGGAATAGCAAGAAGAGCCTTAGAAGCTGGCAGGAGTTCTCAAAAACTTTCATATCTGGGAGGTAATTCCTGACATACCAGTTGGTTCTAGGCCATTATGCGCATCAACAGCTAAAGTCAACACCATGAATTGAATCTGGAAGCTGTTTTGGGGCCGGTGGAGGTGAACAATATGATATATCCTACTGGTCTCATCTGAATTTAGCATTCTTCAAGGGCAGCCTCATGTAAAGTAATTTATAAGTAATCCAAAGAAGTAAAAATAAATAAATAAATTGTCCAGTAGCACCTTAGAGACCAACTAAGTTTGTTCTAAGGTGCTACTGGGCAATTTATTTATTTATTTCGACTGTGTCAGACCAACACGGCTACCTACCTGAACCAAAGAAGTAAGTTTCACTACAATGCATTCACTAGCTTGAGGATGAATGGCGTTTGGATCCAATCCTGCAATAGCTAAGTGAGTGTATATTCCTGTTGCTGTCTTCTTCCCAGAGACTAAGAGTTATTTTTATTTTTTTAATATACTAGGGTCTCTTTGGTTGGGCCTGTTTCTTCTGTACAACTCCAGCCAAAGCAGGCTTAATCTATGTGATAGGTATAATTATTCAATCCTAAATAGGGAAGAGCCCTGTGAAAACTACAGTTTTGCTGTTAACAGAAGATGGGTCCTTAATCAGGCAACCTGTGAAAGAATTCACTGAACTCAGAACTCATAAATAGGAACATAGGAATCTGTCCATTAGAGGGTAACGAAGAAAAAATACCACTATGATTACTACTATTACTGTGGTTGTTTTTGCAATAATGCAATATTTGACTGTACCAGTCCACAACGACCATGGCATGTAATTGTCAGGATGTGGGATGTGTTTGTTGTGTATGCCTTAAATGAGGA